TTTTTTCAGAAAAATAGGTTTCCCAAATCCAGTAACTGTTATTATTCTTTCAAGTAGTGATGGTGGTTTCCTTTTGTTTGAAGTATTGTGGAACATCAACATCTTGATTATGTCATTATTTTCTCTTTGAGTTACATGTGCTATCCATTTTAGTTGTTGCTGTTGTTGGTAGTCCTCAACTAATTTCATTAAAAAAACAGCTTTTTATTGTGATAACTGTCATATTTTTACAAATATCAGCTGTTTTTTTAAAAATTCTGACAATGTTGGAATGTTTTTATTAATACTAAAATTAAAGATGGAAGAACAAACTTGATAAAATATAAATTCTCATGAAATCAGACAGTTGATTATAGAACAAGTAAAATGAACCTTCACTAAACATATCAAAGCTTGTTCTTCATCCAAAGAAGGTCATGCTGTTCATATCTGTATTAGAAATGTATCTTCTATTATGAGTTTCTTTTGCAGAATGAAATGGTAATTATGAATTATATTTTTAAGAATGAGCATACTGTAGTGTAAGTGACCATGATTAAATGTAAATGGCAGAAGTGCCAAATGAACATAACTGACAAAGTCTGCAATAAGCAATGATAAGAAAAAGAAAAGTCTGCAATAGCAATGATAAGAAAAAGTAAAGAACTAAGCAAAAACTAATATAAAGCAAGCAAATAATATATGCAAGGTGAATTAACAAAGCAATAGTAATATAGCAAAAAGTTCACAAATTAAGAATTGGTGTTGACACACAAGAGTGATAATAAACAAAAATATAGCATTCTGACTTCAAGACAAGACAGAACAGGACTGAGTCAGATGAGACCAAGAAGTGGCTAGTAAGAAATCCCAGCATGCAATGTGGTTCTGTCTATAAATTGGGGAGGAGAAAGTTTGAATGTCTTGTTATATTTTAGTTTTATTTTTGGGGTTCATCCCCTCCCCACTCATTTTATGGATTCATTTTCATATATTTTTGTAAGAAATTGAAAAAAAAGGGATATTTGGACTTTAGGAAATTTTCATGTCATGGGGATTTGTAGGATCCCTGTGAATATGTGGTATTATAGTATATGTCAGATTGAATGGCGATGGATGAGTTCTTGTTGTGAATGAGTAAAGTGTAATGGATGAATACGTCATAAATCTGATTAGCTAGGTCGAGGATAGTTTATGTTGACCATCCTGTCCCAACTTCCCCTTTGGCCTTGTGCCACAATTGTTCATTTTTGATCAATAAATAATGATTCTTGTCACAGGATTGGAACCAACACAGTTACTATTTTTCTCACCAAAACTTTCTTTCATTCATTTTTATTTTTTACCTCTAATCACCTTATTTACTTTTTATTATAACATATTTTCTTTGAACAAATCTCATTCATTTATTAATGAATATATTTTTAAATGTGTAAATTTTTATTAATGGTATAAGTTTTTCAAATTGACCATTGAAATTTTTTATATTCATATGGGCCATGGTAATGACATTTCCTTTGATTTTTTTTCAGTTATCTTTTGATAAGGCTGATGTAAAGTAATTCTCATGTCAAAATAAATTTTGATAGCATTCATATAAAGTAACAAAATGTCAATAGGAAAATAAAAAAGAATTTTTCACTATCTAACCAGAGGCATAGCTAGAGTGTATGCTATCCAGAGGCAACCCTTGAGTTGGCTTCTCCCCAGCCCCACACAAAAAATACATATTGCACAGTGACTTAAAGTTATAAAACTAGTTTGCGTACCATTATAATATTATTTTCACATACTCAAATATAGTATGCTTTAAATACACACTAAACGTACTTAAACCTTATCAGTAACAGTTAAAAAGTGACATATAGGGAAAGAAAAATGTAAAAAATTAGGACCATCTTTATTTCTGAATTGAAAATTACAACTTTCTGCATAATAATTTTTCTTGCTTTTTTGTTGGCAAATTCTTTAATGACATCAACAAAAACTATTTCATCTGTCAATTGTTGCTCTATGGACAGTAGATAGGCCAATATATATATGGCATAGTTGAAGTTAATCAAAATTGAATAGATCCTTCAACTGTGAATACTGTCCAGTCATTAAAAGATCGGGTGGGTGACGAATGAAAAACATGACGTAACATACTATAAACATCCGATAAAAAATTCAAACTAATCTCACCAACTGTCATTACTTGAGATCAGAATTTTAAGCCTCAAATTTTAATAAGAGATTTCAAATTTGAATTTAAACAATCTGATTGCATTAAACACTTTACTTTTATTGAAAAGCCCATTTTTCTATGAGATTGTTAGCATATTGACATCCTAGTGGCATAGATGGAGTGTGTGCCGCCCGAGGCAGCCCTTGAGTTTGCCGCCTTCTACAAAAAAATACATCTTGCACAGTGACTCATTCTTAAAGTTATAAACTAGTTTGCATATCATTATAATATTACTTTGAAGTGTGAAAAATTAGGACCATTTTTTTTCTGTTATATAGCATACCTTGAACACTAATTGTTATGTCCCAGTCCCTATAAATATGTTGGACACTATTGTAAGTGGGGGTAATATGCTGTCTAAGTAGTCCACCACTAGCAATGGTTTACCTAATTCATGCCGCTGACAAGTATTGTATTTTGTTGATGTTATAAAGATTACCATTTCATTTCTAACCTTCATTTTGGTTATTCCTCATTCAGTAACCCTTTCTAGCTTACAACAATTTCTGAAATGAAAATTACAACTTTCCGTAAAGTAACTTGCTTTTTTTTTTCATTGACATCCTCAAAAATTATTTCATCTGTAAATTGTCACTCTATAGAGAGAAGATAGGCCAATATATATGCCATAGTTTAAGTTACTCAAATTTAAAAAGATCTTTCAACTGTTAACACTGTTCCTGACATTAAAACCACTTTTATTTCAATACAACCTATACAGGCTTATAGCCTACAGCAGACACAAAAGTGCCATCCCTATAAAAGTGCTGCCTGAGGTGGACTGCTAACTTCACCTTCCCCTCTTGCTACATCACTGCATTCAACTTGTTCTCATGTATTAGAACTTTACATATTCCACATCAATCATTTATCATGACAGAATGTATCAGAAGTGATTTAGCAGTCAAAGATGGCAGCATAGGACACCCTTCCTGTCTTTCACAGAACTTGTATACAAGATGATTATTGACATTCAAGAATGTTCATTAATGGTAAAAAATAGTTCATAAATAGTGTTTAATATTCTACTGCCTCAGGGAATTGAACACTCCTGCCTTGCATAGTTCCTTTGCCTCTTGCAGTAAATGAATGTAGTTTTTTTTTTCTTTTGATTCCATGATGACATTGGGATGTTTGACATTTTTGCAGTCATGGCTTGAATACATCAATTCATTTTAGATATACTTCCTGGAATTGGAAAATGTTTGTTCATTTCTTCCATCTTTTTCCATGATGTTCATTTCTTCCATCTTTTTCCATTTTCAATAACAGCCCTTACTGCCTGAACGGGATACTTGCCATGAAAATTGATTAGCTGCTAAGCCACTGTGTAAGTTTCTTTAAATCACATCTGCACACACAGACCACAGACACATGCACACATACACACATATTTATCTATAATATAGTTTTAAGGCATGCTGTATGGGAGAAAAGTTCTCAATACCGTGGATAGAACATATGTAAATGTAAGCAGAAAAGACATACATATCAAAACTGTATGGTTGATACCCATGTTCACATTGCATATATATATATATATATATATATTATTATTATTAGTAGTAGTAGTAGTATTATTATTTAAATATTATTTTTAGTAGATAACCATATTTGAGTAGACACTCCATTTATTTATTACTGAGTATATTTATCTAATTTCATCTTCAAGAAATCTTAGAGAAAAATATGCGCTCCACATCAGGATTTGAACCTGTATTCCCCTAGGGGAAACCATCATTAGATCTGATGTGCTTCGACCTCTCAGCTACAGAGTGTATTGATAACCAAGCAAAGCCAAATAGTGCCTTTAAACAAATTTTTCTTTGACTCTTGAAATCGACATATCTGCTCAGTGTCATGTCCTAACATAAACAAAGCATACTCTGTGGCAGGATTTGAACCTGCATCCCTCTGGGCAGTATGAGCTACTGTTAAATCCAGTATGCTCTGACCAACTGTGCTACAATGAACCATTTGGTCAAGAAAGTCAAAATTTTACCTTTAAGTAAAACTTCTCATCATAGATCACCCAAAATTTTTCATATCTGCACGGTTTTGTATCAAAATGTAAACAAAGCAAATTTTCTAAAGAAATTTTTATTAATCCGAAAGATGTTTTTTCACTTTAAATGTTCCCTTTGCCCAGCGGGACACAGATTCAAATACTGCCAGAGAAAGCTTTTGTTCAATAAGATTTCTAGAACATTCAGGCTGGAAGGTGAAAATAAATAAACATACAATTTAATAAAGAAATGGTGCATCTACTCAAATATGAGTATCTAATAAAAATAACGTTTAAAGTGCTAAAAAAATTGTCGGATTAATAAAAATCCATTACTTTTTTTAAAATAGATCAACCTTGCACCAATGAAAAGTACATAAATTATTTCTTAAGTCAATATAGAAGAAAAACAAGAAAATAAACATCCAATTACTGATATCTCCTGATGAATGGACAGAGAGATTGCCAGAGGGTTCATCTACAAGTTGAGATGCTGAAAATAAACATCAATCAGCTGACAAATTTAATATATGCATTAATCCTATATATATATATATATATATATATATATATATATATATATATATATATATATTTAATAATTATATCTTTTTAACAGGATTTATTTTATTTCATTATGCAAGAATATCAAAATATGTATTTTATTGATTTGATCTCATAAAACGATTAAAGTATGACTGAAGTTCTGTCTTTCTTCAATAAAACCATCAATATAAACATTAGGTAGGCAATGCCAGATTCCATTTCCCCAGACCATAAATATCAAAACTACTGATCAGAAGTGCCATAAACATTGTCTATTATTGATTGAAATTCTCTTACCTCAGGTGCCATCCAATAGGGCGTACCAACAGATGTCCTCCGAGGAGCCAGTGTGCTCTTTAGCAGGCCAGATACACCTGTTAAACAAAAAATTTGGATGTGATAATAATTATGACAATGATCATGATGATGTATATATAATCACAGTAGAAAATTGCAGAAATAAGAGAATGGAAATTCTTTTTAATCAAATTCACCCCAAGCAAGGCAGTAAAGCCACTAAGACAAAAGGGGTTACTGGGTGTGGAAGAATTAGTAAGTTGTGAGAATAATAGAAGAGTAATCAGGAAGACAGTAGATAGTGATTGACATTGTATTTAAATTTTTGAAGATCAAACTTGGCCAGAATGCATAGAGCCAAAAGAGAGTTTCACAAGTGGGAAGTGCAAGAAAAGAAATAGTTGGTATAGAACTCTAGCCAATTCAACAGTAAATTGATGAGACCTCATTGCCAGTCTAGTACTGCACTTAATTTCATAAAGTCTATGTACTGTAGCAAATAGCTCATTGGAATGATTACCATGAAAGTATTTATCAATAAGTAAAAGAAAATTTTCAAAATAGAAGAATGCTTGAAAAGTTAAGGCATGAACTGAAAGATAAATAATGATAGAAAATGAGGTTACTTATTTTGAGAGATGCAGAAAATATCTGGTGAGACATGGGAAACAATGGGTAAGTTGATTGATGAATAAAGTGATGATTCTATTTAAATTCTCTAAACTTGATGGACTCTTTGTATTGGGTTGGAACAAAAGTTTGTAGCATTTTTGATAGGTGGCCTTTGGAACATATAATTTTGTTTCAAATATGACTGAAATTTATATTGTGAAAGGAAGCCACCATCAGTACTGGAAAGAGCAATAACAGTTACTGGACTTGAGAACTATTTTATGAAAATTTGTTTTAATAGAAAGATTTTATAAATTTCAACTGAAAGTAGCAATGGCTGCTCGGTCAATGAATTCCATATAAGAATGCGGTTAATATTACTATTATTACTATTAGTATATCCTGGATTTTTTTACCAACATCAATTGGTTAGTATCAGTTCTATTGTGAAAACATTGACTGGCATAAAAAATTTGATATAGTAGAGACAAAATCATTAAAATAAAGCCTGTTATACTAATCACAGACAAATAATCACATTTAAAAGATATGAAGAATGTCAGCGAATGTTGGTTGTGTTATAACTCCAAAATAATGACTGCACTGTTAATATAATCTGTTTCATATAATGGTGTAACTATATAAGAACAGTTTGCTATATAAACAAATTATATAATGAATTTCTTTTTGTATAATGAATTTGTTTGATAAAATGGTATAACTATGTCCCTTTCAGGAAGTGGGTGATCAAAGCTCACCATAATTTCCTGTCTTTGTAGCACTTAGTAAATTTTGTTTTTTTGCTAATCTCTCCTAATCCCTGTTGTGCCAATAATTAACACAAGTTCATTAGGTCTATTATGTGCTACTTTCTTCTGTCCCTCTTGACTTTAATATATCCTGTGAGTAGCAAATTTTCTAATCTCTCTTTCCTCATTAGCACATAATAAAATTTTAACTGTCTCTTTCTGATGTTAAGTATAAATGTCCTTTTTGTTTCTGTTTTCTCTAAAATTTTGTCATTGCTAATATGTACAGTCCATAGTATTCTCAGCTTCCTTCTGTAGAACCAGATTTCTATCACCTCAAGTCTCTTCTTCATCTATGAGAAGATTGTCCAACATTCACTGCTATCTTGGAGTTCCAATATTACATAACAGTACAGTAATCTTTTCTTTGTTTATAATTTTACTGTTTCTTAATAGTTTGCTTAGCTTTTGGAAGGCATCTTTTGCTATCCCAATATGACTTCAGATTTTGGTGTTGCATTTTCCTTCCCAGATATTTCAATTTTGGTACTTGCTTGGTTTTGACATCTTTGATTTGTAATTCTCATTGGGATGTTCTGTTTGATGAAAACTGTACATTCTGTCTTCTTACAGTTGATTTTTAGTCCTTTCTTCTGACTTTCCATCAAAAAGAAAATAATTTCTAAGCATGGAAGCTGAATAAGTTTTAGCAAACTTTGTGTATGGAATGACAAGTTCAACAATCTGCACTCTGCTCAAAAACAAGCAAACATTAAAAAAAAGTTCAGGTGTTTAAGGGAATAAGATAAACTAAGAAAATCACATTGCAATTTTATTGAAAAGATGGAAAATTTACTTTTGCTGTGAATTGGATGACCTTAGAGCTAATACACTCAGCAGAACCGATACTAATGTGTTGGATTTTCTTGCTTCAATTACTTCTTTCAGTGTTTATCTATATATTTGTTACTACGTACATTTTTTTTATTTTATATGGAGTGTGTGTGGGTCTTGGAATGAATTATTGTTATATGTATTTCAAGATGATGGAAGAGGTGGATTCATTACTGGGTTTGGTTTCATTGATGACTGTCCTTCTATATGGCAGCAAATGCTGGACAATCTTCTCAAAGATGAAGAATAGATTTGAAGCAACAGAAATGTGGTTCTACAGAAGGATACCATGGACCAAACATGTGAGGAATGACAAGGTTTTAGAGAAAGTGGAAACAAAAAGGAAATTTATACTTAACATCAGGAAGAGGGAGTTAAAATTTCTAGGGCATGTAATGAGGAAGGAGGGCTTGGAAAATCTGATACTCACAGGACAGATTGAGAGACAGAGGAAAACAGTGTGTAACATACTTGATGTGCTTGAGTAAATGGATAGCAGAACAGGGTTTGGGGGAAATGGCAAAATAAAACTTATTGTTGTAACCAAGAGAAAGTTACTGAATCGAACAATCAAACAAAGGTTAGTAATGAATGATAATACTTAGGACGAGAACAACACATATAAGATCTGTCAGCAGCATGTAGAAGAAGTAGTCAATTGCTAGAAGTGAGTCAAGTGGATTCCACAATGAATCTCCAACTGTAAACCAATATACATCTACTATATTTATGTAGATAGGAACATTCCCATTATCGTCTGCTACAACACTTATTAAGAACTACAAGGGTCAGGAAGCTGTGGAGGGCCATGATCGCCTACGTTCTGAAGGGACATGGCACATAAAAAAAAAGAATCACCATTCTCATCTCTCAGACAAAATGTTTCCTACATGGTGATTTTGTGTCTATTTGGAAGCTCTGGCTTCTTAGTTTTTCATTCTATAATTATTAGGCTTTAAATAGTTTTAAAAATGGTTACTTTTTACTTTTTATATACAGTGGAAGATCCATATAAAAACAGTTAATGAAATAAAAAAAATTAATAAAGAATCATTTTTCTGAAGGAAATTAAGTTAATGAACTGAAATTTGAACTGCAAATAAACTACACATGTATATAAGTGGTAAGGAGCATCCTCACTGCTGACCTAGTTTCCATATTGCACTCATTTCATGTCATAAGTTTTCATATTTTATATTAAAAATAATATTTTTCATGATATTTTTTACTGCAAGCATAACCTTGGATTGACATGAGAGAGTGAGAAAATCAATTACTGTAGAAATTAAAAAGGAAATCATTTCTAAGAATGAAAGCTGAACAAGTTTTAGCAAACTTTGTGCATTGAATGGTAAAATCAGCAATTTGCACTCTGCTCAAAAATAAACAAGAATTAAAAAAATATTCAGGTGGCTAAGAGAATGAAAAAAAAACCTCAGTAAATTGTGTAGTAATTTTAATGAAGAGATGGAAAATTTATTTTTGATGTGGATTAAAGAGAAAGATATTGTCAGTGATAGTAAAAGTAAATTGATAATTTATAAAAATGTCAAACAGTTGCTGGATGACCTTAGAGGTAATACACTCAGTAGAACTGATACTACAGTGTCAGATTTTATTGCTTCAATTTTTTCTCTAACATTTTTTTAATCATTTCACCCCAAACAAGGTAATACAACCACTAAGATGGTTACTGAGTGTTAGAGAGTATGTGAAAAAAAGAAAAATGATATTAAATAGTGAGAATAATAAAGAACAGGAATAAAGAAAACAGACAATAATGACTGATATTGGATTTTGGGAATTGGATCAGGCCAAGAAATTTTGATTGGATTTTGGGAATTGGACCAGCCCAAGAACTTTTGATCAGATTTGAAGAATTGGATTAGGCCAAGAAATTTTGATTGGATTTTGGGAATTGGACCAGCCCAAGAACTTTTGATCAGATTTGAAGAATTGGATTAGGCCAAGAAATTTTCATTGAATTTTTTGAATTGGATGAGCCCATGAACTTTTTATGAGATTTGAGGAATTGGATCAGACCAAGAAATTTTGATTGGATTTTGGGAATTGGATCAGCCCAAGAAATTTTGATTGGATTTTTTTAATTGGATTTGCCAAGAACTTTTGGTTAGATTTTGGGAATTGGATCAGGCCAAGAACTTTTTATTGGATTGGAATTTGGATTTAATAAGTCTAACTTAATTTGGCAAAAGGTCACACATATGGGGTATCCAGTGATGATTGAAATCACAAATCAGTAATAATAGTTAGAAAGATATTTGTTGGAGTATTCCATGTTAGGTCTGTGCTGTCAGTGGGGCCTTGAATACACCAACTGTATTCATTGTAATGGAGTAAGACCCTCTTCATAAAAGAGCTACCTACCAAGTAAATGCTTCTTCAAACTCAAATATATATGACTAATATTTACCTATCCCCAACCATAAATGCTTATAGACTCAAATATAAATGACCAATATTTACCTATCCCCAAACCAAGTTTCAGAATCAAATAACCGCTTGGGAATGCCATGTGCTGTAAGTTTGGATGTTGGTTGGTGTAATGGATAATGGCTCAAGATTGGAAATTGGAGATCCGAGTTTCAATTCAAATCAAATTTGTTATATTCACTTATAAGCAAATACCCTTGGCAAAGTATGAATCCACCTCTCCTTCCCAAAATTATGGGTTAATTAGTAAAACTTGTATCAATAAAATCATTATTATCTAAAAAAATTTCTTAAAATCTAAAAATATTTTCTGGCTTTAAATAACCTAGAAAACACTGATAAGTCATAAAATACAAATCAGTACAGAATCAAATATTAATGACCAATATTTATCATTACATGAACCAAATAAATGTTTACAGAGTTAGTTATGATAAATAAAAAGAAGACTGATTCTAATAATAAATAAATTTGCAAGTTGTGAAATCAACCAGCCCAAACCCAAGTTTGACTCAAGGCATTATGGTTAGCAGTGCTGACAATTTCCTCATAACTGTTGCTTCTTTGTCCCTGCATGATGTAAAAGATGACTTTTATCAAATGTGTAGTTGATATACTTACCAAAATCTACCAGCTTGATGCTTCCGTCATTTGTCATCAGAATGTTATGTCCTTTGATATCTCGATGAATGTAATGGTTTTTATGCATGTAATTGATGGCCTGAAAGGAGAGAAGAAAAAATAGAAATTAAATGAATTCAGTTGATCCATAAAGAAGGTTTCTAAAAACACAATTGGGTTTCATTATTTTCTTGCTTAACATATCTAAGTGCATATACTTTCATTTTACACTTGACATTAGAAGAATAATCAAATAAAACACAAACACACATGCACATTTGAAACAAACTGGACAATGAAATATAAATTCCCATGAATTCTGACACACAGGTGATTATAGAACAAGTAAAATGAACCATAACTAACCATACCAAAGGTTAGTCTTCATCCATGTTGTTCATATCTGTATTAGAAATGTATCTTCCATTATGAGTTTCGTTTGCAGAACCAAATGGTAATGTTAGCCATTTCCCTATAATGAAATATTTGGCATTCATTGACCAAGCAGACAATATGACTTTTGGTTAAAATTTATAAAATCTTTCTCTTAAAGCAATGTTTCAGGAAAATCTTTCTTTTTATGTGCTTTGTCCTTTCAGAACATAGGCGATCATGGCTCTCCACTTCCTCCTATCCCTTGTAGCTCTCAATAAGTTTCATCCCTCTGCCACCTCCCCCAGACCACATTCTGTCATCCGCTTGCTTAAGCCTGCCAAGTATGTCATGCATTGCTTTCCCTTGTCTTTTTTTCCCTCTATTTGCTCTGTGAGTATCATATCCTCCAAGCCCTTTTTTCTCATTACGTGTCCTAGAAATTTTAGCTGCCTCTTTCTGATGTTAAGTATAAGCCTTCTCCTTGTTTGCATATTCTCCAAGACCTCACCATTGCTCACATGCTCGGTCCATAATATCCTCAGCATCCTTCTGTAGAACCACTGTATCGCAATACGCTGCCCAGTTTTTGGAATGCATCGTTTGCTATGCCATCTATCTATGAATCTCAGTGTTGCACTTGTCGTCCTCTGTCAAAACACTTCCCAGATATTTAAACTTCCACACCTGCTTGTTTTAGTGTCCCTGACCTGCAAATTGCATTTCAGGCTTATTTTTTATTTTTTTTACTGATGACCATACATTCTGTTTTCTTGTAGTTTATGCATAGTCCCTTCTTCTTGCTCTCCTTCGCTACCTTCTGTAGGAGATTTTGTAATTTCATTTCTGTGTCTGCTATCAGTACTGTGTTATCTGTATATCTTATATTGTTAAGATTGTGGCTGCCAATGCTGAATCCTTGTAGAATTTCCAATTCTCTCAAAATTGCCTTGCTGTATAGATTGAATAGGTCTGGTGAGAAGACACATCCTTGCCTTATGCCCCTTTCTGTTTTGTAAATTTGCTGAACTCATTCTCTATGGACATGCATGCTGTTTGCTATCAGTATAGGTTCTTGATTATTCTAATATCTTTCCCGAATATATCAAGGTTGTTGAGCAGTTCAACAGATACTTGTGGCATACTTTATCAAAGGCCTTTGCATAGTCTATGAAACATAGGTATATATCCTCCAGTTTCTCAAATCCATTAAATTGCTCTTTCCGGTATTGAAGGTGGCTTTTCTTTTGTTTGAAGTATTGTGAAACATCAATATCTTGATTATACCATTATTTTCTCCTTGAGTTACATATGATATCCATTTTAATTGTCATTGCTGTTGAAAGTCCTCAACCAATTTCTTTAAAAAAATTTTTTTTTTCCTATAGAAACAATTTTTCAGGAAAATAGGTTTCTCAAGGACACTATTATTACTCTTTCCAGGGGCTTCTTTCCTAACCTTTTGTTTGACATAGTGTGGGATATAAACATCATGATTATGCCATTGTTTTCTTTTTGAGTTACATGAACTATCTTTTTTAGTTATTGCCACTGTTGGTAGTTCTCAAATGATGTAGTTTCTATTATTTGGTACAGTCTTTTGTGATTTTGTAGTACCAGTCCATGAGATTTGAATACAGATAGTCCTTGCTAGTATCTACAGGATTCATTTGCTCAAAGCCATGTTAAATGATTAATCTGAACAAGTATTACTCACAGTTAGAATAAGTGAAAGCAGCAAATTGATGAAATTTCCCATAATTAATTTAACGAAAACACATTGTATTCCATGAGGACACTACTAGACTGCCTGTTTCTTTGGTTACCAGCCTGAAATTCTTATCACAGACATGCATGGGGTTGGGGCTGCTGATCAAGTTCAAAATAATTTTTACAGTCTTTTGGTGAGAAGATATATCCTTCACTCTGCACTCCAACAGATGCTATGCCACAAGCCTGTCACTACTTTATCACTATTTCCATGGCAAATGTTCAAATGAGATCAAATCCTTAGTTCCACTTTTACAATCATGATGTACAATGCTACATCCATGGAGTCAAATCAGTCACATTTCTGCCATATTCCAAATACAAGGTGAAAATTCCACTCAGCTTTTTCCCAATAACTGCTACAAACTCTCATGTGGATGCTTTCTGGAACACTATAATTTGGTGGCCAAAATATCATTATCACTAGTCAGTGCCAGATTTACATATGGGCTGCATCTGAGAGCCCCATATAATAGAGAAGCCCCAAGGCATCTCTACTCTTGGGTCGCTGATCAAACTAAAAACAAAATTGAATAAAAAATGGATACATTATCATGAAGTTGCTAATGAAATAAATTGGGTGAGTTCCAAAATCATTAAAATTTTTAGTTGAAGTTGAGTGGGGTGCCCTGGGTCAGTGCCACTAACCCAGGGCACCCCACTTGTCTTTTGCTTTATTGTTTTTTCAATCCATCATATTCTAGGAATCTTACTTATTATAAAACGCAGATTGTGTGTGTGTGTGTGTGTGTCTGTATGTTTATATATTGGATCGGATTTCCTACATTTTTCAACCAATTTCAACAAAACTTCACAGGACTACGTAAAATTACCTTGCGGTGGTTCTAACAGTGCCCAAAATTGGAAAAACAATTCCATTTACAAGACAATTGTTTATAATAAAATTCTATTCAATCGGTAGACTTATAATGATTGAAAAAAATGTTTTTGTTTGAGTTTGGGTTTGACCAATTCGTAAAAAAAAAAAACTAATTAAGACATGCGTGTCCGTCAACCTTAAACAATAATCTTTGTCAATTTTATATTTCAGTCTTTATGATGGTGGATACTTGATCTATCTCTTACTGTTACATCCCCGGGCAACGCCGGGCTCTACTGCTAGTGTTAAATAAAAATGTACCCCCCTCATATATTCTTTTATTTACAACTTTCCAGTCAATGCTTATGGCCTTAGTAATTAAACTTTAATTATTATTGATGTGAAGTTTCAATTCAGTGATGATATGACAATGTCAAGATGACAAGTTTAAAATTTGAGACATTGTTCCTGGATAATCCAATATGAAATAATTAGCATTCATAATTGTTTTTTAACTGATAGATCATTTCAGCAAATAAAGGAATACTGTGTACTGTTATATTCACCCTACCCACACCCCAACACTTGTACCACTCTGGTAAGTACCTGACTTCTCCTGCTATACTCTATCTATTCAAGAGACAGATCAGACCGGAAATGGAGTACTTCTGCAATATCTTGGTTGGAGCTTCCCAGTGATCATTTTCTAGTTGTGATAGAGTTCAAAAAAGGTCTACACAGCCTTGTGGGTGATGAATTATTTCCTTCTCTATAAGACATTCCTACATTGTACAGTTTCATCAGTTCCAACCTTCACAGATAAGATCTTGCATTATATGTACTCACTGATGATTATGGAATGATTATTTAATGCTGTGGTCCCTTGAGAAGCAAGAGTAAAATCCTTATCTTTTCCTTCATGGGTCGCAGAGCAGTGTTCCAGCATGACAATGACCCCAAACACACATCCAAGACAACCACTGCTTTACTGAAGAGGCTGAGGGTAAAGGTGATGGACTGGCCAAGCATGTCTCCAGACTTGAACCCAATAGAACATCTTTGGGCCATCCTCAAGCAGAAGGTGGAGGTGCGCATAGTCTCAAATATCTGCCAGCTCCACGACATCTTCATTGAGGAGTGGAAGAGCATTCCAGTGACTACCTGTGACGCTCTGGTAAACTCCATGCCCAGGAGAGTAAAGGCAGTTTTGGATAATGATGGTGGCCACACAAAATATTGACAGTTGACATGTTGTATGTTAATATTGACAACTTTTCCTAAGGGGTGTACTCACTTTTGTTGCCAGGGATTTAGCTTTTAATGGCTATATTTTGAGTTATTTTGAGGAGAAAAGAAATTAACTCTGCTATATATGCTGCAGACAGGCTACTTTTCATTGTGTCAAAGTGTCATTTTGTCAGTGCTGTCCCATGAAGAGATATACTTAAATATTTGAAGAAATGTGAGGGGTGTACTCACTTTTGTGATACACTGTATATATATATATATATATATATATATATATATATATATATATATGTATATATATATATATATATTTGCCATATTTATTGAAGAGAACTCAGTACTGAGAGAACATTTATAGATACAAACATTGTGGATATCAAAATTAAGACTTGGTGTCAGGATCACATTGAGGCATGAAACAAACAGTCTTTTATATATATATATATATATATATATATATATATAACAGTGGTCATTGAAGTCCACACCCAGATGTGACAGCCTGTTTCATGCTAAACACAATCATCAGGTCATTTAGCATGAAATAGACTGTTGCCTCTGGCTGCTGACTTTAATGTCCACTTTTATATTTACATCTATCCTTGATATTGAACAGTAAAACCTATAAATATAGCATACGTTAAAACTATATTTTATCATAAATATATATATATAAATATATATATATATATATATATATATATATATATATATATATATATATATATATATATATATGCAATTTTATATATTTTATTTATATATTATATATGTGCAGTACTAGAAATCATTCAATATCAGTGATAGAACTAACATATTTAGTTGTGTTGATGTGAGTTTGTGACACTGGGTTTCTTGCCCTTTGTAATCGTACGATTGCAAAGGGCAGG